ACATAAAAAATAAGACATAAAAGTATCAACCGATTCTGTTGGTAATTCTGTTTTTCCTTTTATGGTGACCCTCGGGCAACTAGAGCTTTTTAATCATATTGTGTAATTTGATTTATAAATTGCTAACTATCCTAATTTGTCAAGATATCTAGCCCCTTCCCTGGCTTCCTTCTCATTTTCTATGTTCTTATAATTTTTCCCATGCATATTAAATACACTCATAGAATTATACCTGCTGTCTTTTAAATTTAAACTAATATTCCTGTAAACATATTTTGCATATCTTATGAGAATTGAACAAGGTAGAACAGGAGACCCACACATAATTATTGTTAATAATAGTTGATTCTGCTAAGGCAATAAGGTTAAGATAAATATCAGTGTTTTTAGAGTATACTAAAGATTTTAAATTTTTCTAATATATATATTTAAATTATCCTAGCTACCTAAGTGATCTAATAAATTATATTTCATGAATTTTAATGAAATAAAATAAATCAAATTAATAAATATTATTTTAAAAACTAAGTATTTCCTTTTCTGAATATGATACCATATTTTGTAAATCACTACAAAAATGTATTTTGCATTTGAAAAACCAGAACATTAGAGAGGGAAGAAAAGATCTGGGAAAAGCTTAAGAAACATTCTTTTCATTTTATCAGGTAAATAAAAGGCTCTTGAGCAGGTGTGTGACATGATCAGATGACTAATTTTTAACCGCGATCCTTCAGGCTTTGTGCTGGGGGTGAATGGGATGTCGGTGTGGGGAGCTGAGCAATCTGGGCTCAGAGTGTGAAGAGACTGGGACAGACCTGATGTGAAGTGATTCAGGGTTTCAGGCAGTGAGGATTCAGCCAGGGGTGGCTCTTAATTGTCGAATATGTGTGACTCTTTAGATGAGGAAATCAACGTGAAGACTCTTGTGTGACCACTGATACGGAACAGTCAACAGCAGCAGGTTGAGAGAGTTTCCTTTGAGTGTTGAGCTTGTATGGGGCATTGAAATGGAGAAGTCCAGGGAACCTCTGAATACATCAGTCCTGAGTTCAGAGGAAAGAGAGCAAGGGAGAGAGTGATGGAGACATACTTACAGTGGTTTGGGATATTTAACAGATACAAAGAGAACTGAAATAATCTAAATCATTTGAAATGACAGAATGATGGTGATGAAGATGATGCGATGGTTTCTAACTCTCTTTGGCATAAACTATGGACACTTTCTAGGCACATACTTTGTAAAAATATTCTTACTAATTCTTTACAACAACCTCTTGTGCTAGAGCACTATGATTTTGTCTGTTTTACAGAGAGAGAAACAACGAGCTTTTAATTAATTTATCCATGTCAAAAAGCGATGGAAGCAAGTCTTAGCTTTGCAGTTCCTAGTCATCCATTATAATCAATAAATAAACATAAGTGTATTAAAAATAAATAACATACTACATTTCAAAAAGGCAATAAATCAGATTAAATAATTTACATAATTAAAATTAACTCATAAAAATTACCTCCAAAGAATTGGCCATTCATTACTTCACCAGTTGATACAGCATTCTAGAGTTGCTACACGCTGTCTCTGTGGCCAGCATGGAATGCGTCCCTTAGACACAGCAGTCCATCACCCACTTGTACCTTTGCCCATATTTCTCACTGATCTGAGTGGTGAGCTTATGTCAAACCCCCGGTTCCTTATGTGCCTTTGCTGCTGTGATCTCTAGCACTGTTGCTCATGCAACAGTGAAGTGAAGACTTCCCTGGATCACTCCTTGCTTTTTCTTCTACCTTTTGTTAATTTCCTTCACTGGTTTATTCTACTGCTCCTACCCCTCTTGGCTAATGATTTCTGGAGGTCTACACCTGGGTTTCTGTACTCAACATGTGATATGACTTCCTCATGCGATTTCTTACATAGCGTCCCGTCTTTCAAGTATTTCCCAAATTCTGATCTCTCTCTCCTGAAGTCCAGAAATTAACTTGTGGATTAAGCGTTTTACCTGAGACATCCCACAGATACTTGGAACTTGAAAAGACCAGCTGTTAACTACTCAAAATCACTTCACCCTTCTTTCCCTCCTGAAGGTCCTGCGGGGGGCTCTCATGCCCCCTCGAGTGAGAGAGGCACAAGCATTTATGTAGCTGTGCTGTCAGAAATCAGAGAGCCCTTCCAGTCACCTCTGCCCTGTGCAGTGCCTATGGCCACTTCAGCCAGTTTTGTCATGCCATGTGGGTAGCTCCCTGGCCATGCTTCCTGTGAAGCATCTCAATCTACTTCTTCTGTATTCACTTTATTGACATCTCCTACATGAGAATTTGTAATTTCTTCAATGGCTGCTAAAGACAACCCTTACTTTTAGCTGTCCCTCTTCCACCTATTCCAGCTATCTCCACTAGAAAAAATAATAAAGAATTCTTCTTCAGACTCCTGCTACCAGTCCTTTCAAAGTCATTCCAACTCACTTGGGCATCCCAGCCCCAGAGTCACTGCCACATCTTTAGTTTTTGGTGATTGTCCTCTCTCCGTACCACATCTTCTTTCACCAGTTACTTTTTGTAGCACGATAATTCATCCCAGAATGTAATAACTGAAGGGCATGATTTATCACCTCTCCTGGGCTCTCCATGATTCTGCCCATGGAGTGATGACAGACTTTTCAGAGCAACCGAGAGACAAACTTGACAACTAGCCTTGGAGTTCAGGCCCTGCCCACGTGTCCAGTTTTTTGGACCACAGAGATCAATCAGTCCTCACTCCATGGGAGGGGGCTAAAAAACAGTGTGAGTATCAGGAAGCAAGAATTTATAGGATCCCTCTCGTGAATATTAAAGACAACACAATGAGAGGGGAAAAGCTAGATTTTGCATGGGTATGTAGTAGTTGATTCTCTCATTGATTTTTCCGAGAATGTAACTGATGCAGAATGATAAAAGGACTTGACAATTTCAAACTCCAAGATTCATCAGGGCCAACTAGAATATTGTTATGAGTGACTGATGAAGTCTTGTTTTATGAACTAAATTATACCCAATCTGTAGTGATCTATGTAATGCAGCTGCCTTGCTTCAGAGAAGGTCTTGTTTTTACAAATAGATCTGCTCATTTTGGAATATTTCAGAGCTGGGGTGGGCATTTGGAGACTCTCAAGTATTCCAAAAAAACAACCAAATGAATGTCTGGTTAAGAATAGTCAATAAAGTTACAGCTTGATGTTTTCTCTGCTAAGTTTAGACATTAAACTCCATTCAAATTTATCTTGATTAAACAGATTGAAAATCATATGTATGCATACAACTAGTCTAAATAGACCACTTATCTAAGATCAGCAATTTTCTGAGGGGAGTAAAAGTCAATGCAAATGGAACCGTGTGGTGTGGAAAATTGAATATATAAGACTCAATCTCACTGTCAAACATATTATAATTTTTTAAGTCAAGAAATTAAGGCTAATGCTACTTTCACACAGTGCAGTGTTGATGAAAAATAGTATTTATACCTCTGTGGTTAACCCTTAAGAGGGATTCAAAGGGTAATTATTAAATGTTATATATTGCAACTCATTAATAAATGGAAAAGGGAGGACTCTTTTATCTTAAACTAATATTACCAAAGTGAATAGGATTTTTTTTTTAAAAAATCACTTAATGGTCAGTTTCTTGTGAAAGTTTGAATTGAAATTCACTTTCATCCAATTAATGGCACTTCTTTCTACAGTCATTCCATAGAAATTGTTTTGTTTGTTATAGATATATTGTACTGAAGTTAATTACGTGAACTTTCCATTTTTAGGCGGACAAGTTAACATAGTTGAAATTTGCTTTGGTTTGTGAATTTGATGTAGGAAAATTAGATGCTCTGGGGAATTTCTGGAGATATTTAAATGGGATTGAGAAATATTATTTCCTGGGACCTATAAATTTTCTGTTCGTAACAAGAATTACACATTTTACAATTGAAAAGGCACACAGGTGATTGGTGATGAGATTTTGAAGTTATTTTGTGAAACAGTTTTTAAAGGCCTCCCTGGTGGCGCAGGGGTTAAAGTCTCAGTGTTATCAAGCTATCACCAACCACTGCAGCAAGACTTCGATCCTGGCCAGGGAGCTACCCACACGGCAGGCACAGCAGACCTCTCCTGTCTCGCCCGCTGCTCCCCTCAGCAGTGTATTTCGTCAGCCTGCCTGTTCTGCTCCCCACTCTGTCTCTGGTGAATCCTCTCACCCCACACACCTCTGGCCTACACCTCAGTTCTTATATGCACAAATAAATAAAAATAAATCTTTTAAAAAAACAAATTTTAAAGTCTGACTTGAAGCTCGATATATGTAAAGTTTCTATCTGCTAACAAAGCGCTTTACCTTGTTATTCACTTTCAGTTGTATTTCTTATCATTTATGCTTCCTGTACCATATTAATTATCTTATATAAACTGAATGTTCAAATCAGGGTGGCTGACACTTATGCCTAAATTTATCTCTTTATAATCTTTCATGGGATTTTATAAACCGAGAAATTATTCACAATGCAAGTATCTCCTTGGATTAATTTAGGCATTAATCCATAAAAGAAATCTACTTTGATTCATAATCCTAAGTTTAGCTTCTTGAAGGTTGAATAACAGCCACTGGGGAATTAGGAAACTAGAAGTAATTATTGAAAGTGGAGAAGGAAGGCAGCTGGGTGCAGTGTTATGTCCAGTCTCTGAGGGCAGATTCAGAGGAGCCTTCAAATCCTGAGGAACAGAGAGAGGTGACAGGGTGAGAAAGAAGATGTCAAAGGCAAAAATAGGAGGATGGCAGACTCTAGCAACATCTGCAAGGTTTAATCCTACTTCTTCCCCTGAAGTTGTGTCTTTCCAAGAAGACTCCATCCTTCTGCACTGAGTTACTGCATCAGCAGGGGTCCAGGGAGCAGCGCTGGAGAGGAGGTGGTCAGGGAGGGACCTGGGCCCATGGGGTCTCTGTGCACGCAATTCAGCCTTCCTATGCCCTCTCTCCCGCAGGCTTTCTGAACCAGATGAGCAGCACAAGCCCCGCTGTCCTCCAGCCGTCATTCCAAGGGTGCATGCAGCTCATCCAGGTGGACGATCAGCTCGTGAACCTGTATGAAGTGGCCCAGAGGAGGCCAGGAAGCTTTGCCAACGTCAGCATCGACATGTGCGCCATCATAGACAGGTAAATGCCCGCACCTCCTCCCTCGATGGCCCAAGGCATCCAGAGGCATGCTTCATTGTGGGGTGAATGCAACCCCAGACACTCTGCTTTCCCCACACACACACTTGCTGTCAGGGTATTGGGTGGGGGAGGAGCCATTGCTCATGTCCAGCCGCCCTCTGTGACTGAGCTGAGTATGAAGGAAGATTTAGTGGAAATGCGTGCTGTCCTGTCCCCAGTGCAACTCAGGCTCAGCGTGTTGTCCCCTCTAAAGCGCCCTCCTGAAGAAGAAGAAACATTAAAGAGGAGTCGTGTGCCATGTGGGGCTTACTGACGCTGCCACTTGATAGAACTGAATCTGTTTTCAAAATGCATGTACTGAAATATTGCAAAATCCAGCCTTTGTTGTTTGCAATTCTGGGAGGAGCTAGTCACCAAGGCTCGGTTGAGTTCCCAAGTAATAGGAAGACCCCGCTCCACAGGAAAGGCCAACAGCGTTGCACCAGCTTCTACGTGTACTTAGGAAAAAGCTTTTCCTTCAACTTGAAAAAAGTTCACGTTGAGATGTTTCCCCTATATGCAAACGTTGCGTCACCCAAAGTTGAAATTAATGTAGTGACTGTAGGTAGTTTTCCAAACCATTTTTAAATTTTTTATGGGAGGATTATCTTATGCTGAAGTCATTCCAGTAATATATTTTGGGATATGAACGTCCTTTGACGTCTTAAGATTTCTGAAATAAAGTATCGCTCCTACCTGCCTGCCCCCTAATGTCTGCAGAATTTAAGTTTGTAGTCATCTTGTCGCATTGAAGAGAGCAACCTTGGGGGAGTCGTTCAAAGACATATAATGAATCTTAAAAATACATAACTTCATCTATCATGAAGTCAGTTGGCTTCCATATAACGTTAATGCAGTCACATGCATGTGAATGGTAAATGACAATTTACGATGGTGATAGAAAGGAACTTTTTAAAGCCTTAATGGGCTTATCATAAGACTTGATGACACCACACCTTGTTTATTTCTATTACATACGTGCAAATATGTGTCTTGATAGTCCAAGCAGTTCATTTTGAAATTGAACAGCGACAATTTTTAATGGAAATAGCCTCCTACTTTCTGAACCATCAATGATTTCTGTCTAGAGCAAGTGGGAGCATTAATCAGAAAAACTACGAGACAGATGCTTTTAGATCGTATCTTCTGATATCGGTTGTTTTTAAGTTTTAATAATTGTTTTCCATACAGGGAGACTTTCCTTCTTGGTGACAGTTACGCAGTATAGTGAGATATTTTAGTACCTTGTCCATTTTCCATGTCAGTAATTTAATGGTACAATAATTTCTGGCAGTAACACCCAAATTATGTTCACTCAGCTTTTGTAAACAGGCTGGATTTTATGGTGTTGCTGCTGTTTCACAGCCAACAGCATGTTTCCTGGCATTATAGTTAAATGGCTACCCCAAAAGTACGGGTGAGATGTGGAGATGTGAATGTTTTATTCTCATGGAGAGAGCGGGGGTTAAATTGGCTCTGAAAGGTTGGTGTGTAGAGAGTGGGGAGTGGCCCCCCACAGGCACAGCAGCCTGCAGGACCCCAGAGCAGGGGGTGAGGCAGACACAGGAATATACAAATACTGGTTTTGCCAGAATGTTTCAGCCCTATTGTCCCTATTGTCCGTTGCCAAGTTTCCTGTAGCTGGCAGAACAGAGAAAACGCCTTTCTTCTCCTCCAGGGTGGAGGCCCAGAGGAAGATTGTGGGGAAACTGTCCCCTTGGAACATGCCCGGTGATTCCTGAGTCTGGGGTTCCACTGTCTGCCTGTCTTCCTTGGAGGACGGTGATGTCTGTGTGTTGAGTACCCGTGTGTGGAACGGAGTGTTCCTTTATTCACCTAAAAAGCCCCCCCTTTGGTTGTCATTCGGGAGGGACTGTGGTTTGGTGTACAGGATACAAGATTTTATTCAACTTACTCAGCCATAGAGGGGCTGGTGGGTGATTTCACCCCAATGTGTCTTCCTGGGAGTGGTCTCAGCCCCCTCAGGTCGCACGGCCTGGTCTGATACTCTACCCCCACCAGCCTTTCTCCCCTCACTCACTGAGACTTTGCAGCTGCTCAATCTCTGCCATTTTCTTTTCAAGCTATTTAAATTCTCCCTAGATAAGACTGCACTGCACTTTCTTACTTTCTCCTTTCAAATTTCAGCTTGACTGATTTGAGAACTATTTTTGAAAAAAAAAAAAAAAAAACAAGATAAATAAGAACGTGGATTTTTTTTTTTTAAAAAAAGGAAAAGCTAGCACAGGCCTGATTTCTATAAAGCATTTAAGAGCATAGGACAGCTGCGGGGGTGGGTGAGCACATGCGGAGCGGGTGTGGAGGACGGGGCTCCAGAGCTTTGCCGGAGAGCTTTGCAGGGTGCCATGCTAGACCGCCTTGTGATTTGAACACAAGTTTCTTGTGTGTGCACATGCCCGTGGTTTCTTTCACTCGCCTGTTTCCTGGACACACTGACCCAGCCACAGAGCAAGCTTCCTGAGGGACAGAGCATCCCCTGGCAGAGCTTCTGGGGCTCCCCGGGGCTCCCTGAGGCCAGGCGTGCACAGAACAGTCTACACAAGGCCCCTTGCACTTGTGAAGCTCACACTTGGGGGGACGGGGCAGGGAGACAGATGTCGTGAATAAATAACACATTTAGAAGAAATCCGTGGCAAGAGAAACAGAAAGAATCAAGGCGGAGCCGCATGCAGGCGAGAGGGGCCGGCTCGCAGATCCTTTAGTTATCCCTGAGGTCACTTTGACTTTCAACCCTGTCTCTGTTCTAGGGGTGCAGGCTCACACCCCCAGGCGGCCGTGTCCACACCACACCCGCCGCCCAAGTCCTCATCGTCCTCCACACAGACCACAGGGCCCCCCGCCTTGGCCCCCACCCCTGCCCTGCAGCAGCCTCAGTTCTTAGCTCCTGGCCCGGCTTTGTCTGGGCCGCAGCTTCAGCAGAGGCCAGGGCGAGCCTCATCGGCGTTCCTAGTTCAAGACCTGAAAGAGGTGGCAGCTTTTACCCATTTGGGAAAGAGCTTCAGGCAGAGAAACGTGTCCACGCGGAAGGGTGCACGGCGGGATTGGGTGCAGCGGGGACAGGGCGGGGCGAGGTGTTTGGAAGGGCCGGAGCAGCGGGGACGAGGACAGCCCCATCCTGGCGGCCAGGCCCTGGGCCCTGGGCCTGCTGTTGGAAGGTCTGGCTTTGTCCTGAGGGGCCTGGGGAGCCCGGGGTTTCTGACAGTGGCACGATCCGGCTGATGTCTCAGGGTAACTGACTGGAAGGAGGATGGGCCAGCAGGGAGCCTGGCCGGAGGGTGTTGCAGTCTGCAGGGCCTGTTGCTCCCACCTCACAAAAAGGAGGTGGGATGGGGTCAACTCTGAGTGTAGTTACAGGGGCGCACCCATGGGGCTCGTGACGGAGTCTGTGGGGTGTGAAAGGAATAAGAACAAATGCAAATTATTGGAAAAGAGCCTCTGGAGGGAACACATTACCTCTCCTCAGGTGGGGAGCGCTGGGTCAGGAGCTCAGTGCTGGGCGTGGGTTGCTGTGTCGCTTGAGTCGAAGCACAAATGCTGGACTGTGTGTGATGAGCTTGGGTCGGCAGGTGACTCCACGAGAGGCCGACACGGTGGTGGCCTGTGCCACGGGGAGCTGTGGTCTCTGGGCTGTGTGACCAGCAAACCGGACAGAAGGTGGACAGTGGGCCAGAGGGCCCTTCCCTCACCCCAGTCAGTAGCTTTGCCTTTTGAGTCAAGCCCTGTCTCGGGAAGGAGGACGCCGCCAAGTCCCCGGGGGCTGGATGTTCTGTGAGCATGGCGGATCCCAGCCAGGGCCTCTCTCTCGTCCCTCCGTGACCTCCATCTTGCGTTCACTCTCAGGCTCTACATGGCCAGCGCCAGCCCCGCCTCCAGGTGGCCTCGGCTCTGTCCTCCACCCGCTGCCCCCCGACTTCTCTGCAGGTGTGAGAATCTGAGCCCAACAGCTGGCACATCACCCCCCCCCCAGACAGTGAGGCTTGGTCACTTCTCTCCTCCCCAAAGGGGGAGGGGGCCGTGGGGCATTGCAAAGTGTGGGGAGCGGGTGTGGGGCTTGTGTGAGGTCCCTGCAGGCCTGTGTTGGTCAGAGTCTGTAAAGGGGACCCTTGCTGCAAAGCAGGGGATGCTGTGACCCCTGCAGTTGCCTGGCTGTTGGGGGTGCCTGGCTGGACATGGACTGAAGGACCCGGAGTTAAGATATTTTGAGCACACAGAGCTGAGGTCCTTCTGCATCTGTTTTGTGAGTAAATACTCAGTGTGTGGCACGAGCTGTGACTGCTGTGTCGCTCCTGAGACCATCGTCATAGCTTCGCTGCCACCGATGTTTCTGGAGCTGGTCCAGGCAGGAGGGGGCGCGACACAGGCCTGCTGGTGAGAGGGAAACAGAAGAGCTCCGCACTGTTCCTCAGAAAGCTTCATGCTCCTGAGGCAGGTGTCACCGCCCCCTCTCCACTGTCCTGTTTAGATGCACACCCCAGGCTCTGAGCCGAGTCGCCCAGAAAGCCACAGCGCCGCCGATCCCCAGCCACACTGCTGTCACTCCTTTCACACCAAAAAAGCAATTTTTGTTTATTTAAGTCACTGTGAGTCAAGTTTTTCCCTGCTACAAAAGCATCCTTGACGTCTAAAATCAAACAATACCATCTTTTTGCCAGAACAGGGAGTGTTAAATTCCCAAGGGTGAAAACAGCTTTGAAAAAAAAAAAAGGATGATCCGTCTTAGGAGGGATCAGGTCGCATTTCAGGGACCGCCCTGGAGGGCGCACTTGGGACTAAATGGCTGTTTAGAGGCGAAAGAGGTTTCATACTGTTGGGATCAGATAGAAAAACGAGTAAAAGTGGTTCACGAGAAGTAGAATCTTCTATCCCTGCCCCGTCTCCTGCCTTGTAAATATATCAAGAAACAAAACCAGTAAATTCTGGATCGCAGAGAGCGGAAAGGG